TCTCATCAGCAGGGTCACCCACGAGATTTTCCAACTACGTTACTCTTTCTTTCAAGGTACCCGTGGTAGAAACCATTAAAGCATAACCGTGCTCTGATACCAATTGTTACAGGGTCAATTTTTGTTTTCCATTTCCAGCCTGTAATGGCACTAACTTGCAGTACTTAGTCTTAGCCAAGCATATACAAATTACCCACTATAAGTTTTATAAACAAGCAAGCATACACAAATAGATTACAGGAACCATTCCCAACCTTTATTATCATTAGATAATACAAGGATACATGAGTATTTGTACAGATAACATGATCTATCTAAATTCCTCTATGCCTTAACATTTATAGGCATTTTACAAATCAGTTATGAGCAGTTGACACCCCCAACTGCTAGGGTATATTCAAACCAACAAGGCTGCTGCAGATTGTAACTGCTGGAAACTGCCTAGAACTATCTTGGACCAGTTCCTTAATTCTAGTAGGCTTTGTCATGACTTATTGCAAGCATAACTGCTATAAACTGCTCTGTCTGTCAGCTTTGCATCATGCCAAATAAAACTAATTTGAACTACCTATCAATTTCAGCTTTTTGAACCCTCCTGAGTCTAACCCACGAAATTACAAGTCTTGGTCTGCCATAAAGTGTCATGCCCACTGATCTGTTTGACCCAACAAGCCTATGTTGCCAGCAGCATTTGGGTTAAGTATAGCTGTGCATTTGCCTACATGAAGCATCACTTGCCTTTGAGTTTGGTGGCATTGCCACTGCCACATTGTTACCTTGACTTAGGCATGCCTCCCTCATACTTGACTTGGACAGTTGACATAGGTGCAAGATGCCACTACATGCCAACCTAGGTGTCCAAGTCTTAGGGTGCTAACGCTGTGCCACTTAGTGAATCCCTTTTTTGTATATATTTAAGGGTGGGAGGGATTCCTTTCGGGCCAAAATCTTGATTGGAGGGAATTCTTTCGAGACTCATTATGGGTCTTGTTTTGATAATTTGAATAGTTCATTTTGTTAGGCATTTTGTGTATTTCATTCAAAAGAAAATTAGATCGATTCGCTAACTGTAACTTGTTTAATTTATCATGTTTTTCACTAAAAAAATAGATGACAATTGTGCTTTTAAAAAATAAACTATACATTTATTTTGATGACAAAAATAATAAATTGAACAAATTATAATTATTGAATCGAGCTAATATTTTTTTGTGGATGAAATATACGAAATGCCTGATAAAATGAACGGTTTGAATTATCGAAATGCAGTCCATAGTGGACCCCTTGGCCGAAACAACCCTTCTCCTGTTACGAGTATGCTAGATATAACCGTATTTTGAATTCTAAAAATAGAAAAAAAAAAAAAAAAACATATATATATAGGGTTGTGCGCAGTATGTCTATGTATATATATATAGGGGCGTGCTTAATGCTGTTCGAACGGTTTGAGAGTAAATTTGTAAATTGAATGGTAGTTTGACGGATTGATAAATCGCGGTTTGAACGGATTGAAGAATTGAAAAACATTCTAACCAATTATTAAGCATTTGCATAATATACACTACAACATATAAGAGTTTTAGAGACCAAATTTTTTGATCTATAAAAGTGAAAATTTTGTTGCAAAAGACATTTAGGGATTAATTTTTATTGTCGTGAGAATAATTGCTAAAAGGTCGTCCCAAAAAAACAAAAACAAGGCTTTTAGGGACAAAATAATTTAGTCTCAAAATGTTTTATTTTTTGAAACAAAAAATTTGGTCCCAAAATAATAATAATTCATCACTAATATCGAATTTTCGTTGCTAAAAATATAATGACGACACTTTTCGTAACAAAAATATTTGGTCCCTAAAAAATAATTTTGTCTCTTAAACCTTAATTTTTTGTAGTGATATAACACTAATTTACATAATATTTTTCATATATATATAATACAAACTAATTTTACATAATATTTTTCATATATATAACTATTAATTTGTAACAAATTTCATATTTTAAATCTTTCTCAGATTTATTTTTATTTTAATATTTCATTAAAGGTTAAAAATATATATGTATTAACTATAACGGAACGGGTTCGAAAACAGATTATAAATTTTAAATTCAATCTGCGGTTAGCGGATAAAATGACATAAATTGATGCGAATTGGTGCGATTTTAACAGATTAAACTATATTTTGCACAACTCTCCCCCCCCTCTCTCTCTCTCTCTATATATATATATATGTAAGAGGAGCTAATTTGAGCCCATTAAATTAATTAGGCCCAATAGCCCAAGATTAGTGGGCCCGAATTTATCGCAAGTCCAAGAATCGGTGGGCCCAGATTTATCGCCATCAAACGGATTGAATCGCTCTAAGCCTCGAAAGGGTTCGGATCCACGAACCTTGAGACTTACTCAGGCCCGGACTCGAAAGGGTATTAGGCAAGCCTAGAGATCCGAGGCACTCGGACTCGAAAGGGTTCGGATCCACGAACCTAGAGGTCCGAAATGCTTGGCTTCGAACGGATTCAGACGCAATCTAGAAGTCGCTCCGTTAATGAGTCCCAGAACACTTGCGGGCTCGGAGCTTTCCGGGATCTACGCACCAGAACCATGGGCGTAATGGAGTTCGAACAAAGGACCCGATCCCGAGGACGGGGAGTGGAGATAAATTCACTCTTCGGTTAAACTAGCCTATACCCGAGTCGAGGTGGCACGACCCCGGGGGGTCCATGAGACTCGGCAATATTTTGCGGCAGGACGTCCTCTCGGACTACCCCTGACCCTTTGGGATGATTGGGGATCATTGGTTAGGTGTGGCTAAGAAGAAGGGTTCGCCAAGGGATTGATCTCCTCTTCGGGGTTTTCTCATCCTCGGAGAAGTCACCTCCTCGGAGAGGTCACCCCCTCGGACAAGGTGGTTAGAGAGAATATCCCCCATGTGCCGAACCGTAATGCGCAAGAAATGGTACCGAAGGATCACTATAACTCCAACAAGGATGGCGGGAGAAGATGAAGTTCACCAACAAGGATCCTCTAATGGTGGTGATGACAGAACCATGGCTCCAGATCAACCACTTTTGCTTGAAGCCATTCAAGGACTTCAAAATACTCAGCAGGAGATTCTTACCACTCTTCAGAATCTCACTCACACCATGTTGGTGATGAGTTCTAACTTTGCACCGGCGCCAAACGGAAATCAAACTGGTGGTGGAGTTATTTTCGCCGGAGCGCAAAATCAAATCCAAGGAGAAGTAGGCCCCAATCAGCCTATGGCTCATGGCAACACGGCCACAGTAACACATGCTCAAACCACAGTAGGCGGCGGCAGTTTGCCCATTCCCGGGCTCCATGGCGTGCCAAGCCAAGATCCAATGGTGACTAGAGAAGTTTCTGGTGTAATGAATGGTGCTCCGGCGACTGTTGGTGTCCAGAAAAACATAAGGAGCATGATGGCGCAAAAGGGAGCTCTGCCCGTACCTAATCTTGTCACGCCACCAGTAAATGTTACCCAAGCACCAAGCGGGCCTCCTTTGGTGCCGACAACAAATCTGCAAGCACAACCCGGTATAGCGGCGCCGTACGGTGGACTTTACGGGCCTCAATTCAATATCCCATCACCAACTGGCTTGTTATAGGCGCTGATGGCCAATATCATCAAATGTCCTCACCAATGATGAATTCGCAGCACCAGAATGGCCAAGTCGCCCCTAGTTCAGTCTTCGGGTCCGCAAGCCAAGTCCCAGGAATACCACCATCAAACTCCCTCCCTCAGCAGTTTCTCACTCTCGCCGATGTGCAGGCCATGTTCGATCTCGAACGGGGCAAGAGGACCTTACCCTCTTTGCCTGATCCAGACGTCAAGCCGCCTTACCCCATTGAGATACTGAGCTATGCATACCCTGAGGGGTATACAGTGCCGAAGTTCATCAAGTTCGACGGCAAACAAGGAAATGCCCGAGAACATGTTGTGCGATTCATCGAGACTCTAGGTATTCATGGTTCAAACCACGTCCTCCGACTGAGAGAATTCTCTAAGTCCCTCACCGACCGAGCATATAGTTGGTATGTTAATTTGGCCCCAAACTCTGTCCGAAGTTGGGAGGAAATGGTTAACAAATTCCACTCCAAGTTCTTTCAAGTGACGGAGAAGGTGACCACACTTACATTGTGTAAAGAGAAGCAACAAGAAAGTGAAGACATCATTGACTACGTCAAAAGGTTTCAAGACAAGGCCGTGGATTGTCATGAAGCAGTTGAGGAGAGTTATCTGGTTCAAATTTGTCTAGAAGGAGCATTGAGCAGGTACAAAATGTTTCTAGTTAATCACAAGCTACCCACCTTCTCGGCATTAATAGAAGCAGCTCGGAACATTAGCATTCCTCAGGCTCAGGAGTCCGGATTTAAGGCCAGTTACAAGACTAGTTTCAAATCGTCTCGTGGACCTATTGTTGCTGCTGCCTCTGCCCCAGATACCCGAAATTCACAAGGAGGAGGTCATAGAGGCCAGAAGAGAAAGCAATATAATGGTGAAAAGGGGAATGTTTCTTATCCATGTGGAATCGAGGAAGTGAAAGCTCTAGTTAAGGAATGGGTGGCTGACCGAGAGCTAAAATTGCCTTATGTTGAAGAAATGCCATCAAAAAATGACCGTGAGAGCCCTGAATTCTGTGTCTACCATCGTACATTGAAACATCCGACAGAGAAGTGTTGGACTCTCAGGAAAATCTTCAGAGATAAAGTCGAGGCAGACGAATTGAGGTTCAAAAAGCGAGGGACTCAAGACATCCGAGAACAACCATATCCTCAACACCGAGACAAGGGCAAGAATGTTGCTATGATAACTTATGAAGGCCCAATGATCGAGGCTATCGCTAATCTCGATGACGATGACTGTTATCTGGACGACATCCTCGAGCCAGAAGGTGAGCAAGTTTACTATGGAAGTGCTCTCGATCCAGAGGGCAGAACATTTATGACTCATAGCGAAGATCCCTTAAGGAGATGCCAAGTTCGAGTGGAACCAGGAGCACCAGAAGGCCTTCGAGAGAATCAAGGCGGCCTTGACCTCGCCTCAGACCATGATAGCCCCGCAGCTCGGGGTGCCTCTAATGTTGTACTTAACTTCAACCCCCAAGTTATTTTGAAGAGACCGAGGAGATGGTTAACTACGAGCCTCCAAGAGTGGAAAAAGATCTGGATCACTATGCCAAAACCTTGCAAGACTGTGTAAAGTTCAAGCAGTTCTTTGACCAGCTTGGACTTTCCAGGGAGGCAAGAACGGAAATCACCAAGTCTATCATTAATATAGCCGAGGTACACCATGAGGAATGCATGTCGACCGAGGGGTCTATCCCGAGGAAGGCAAAAGAGCAATCTAGTGCCATTACTTTCTCCGAGGCTGATCGAAAGTATCCTTTTTCTCACAATCGCCCGCTTTATGTGACTGTTTTTATTAACGGGGTTGAGTTCAAAAGGGCCTTTCTAGATAGTGGAGCCTCTATCAACATTATGACTCGCGCTACTCTAGAAAAAGCCGGAATCTCTGAAGAACGCATTGTGAAGCAGCCGATAGTCATCACTGGCTTCGGTGGAGAAAGGAGAATTACTATCGGATGCGTAACAGTTGATTTAGCTGACTTACCTCCGGTATGCACTACTTCATCTTGCATCTTGCATTGTCATTTTATTTCAGTTTATTTTGATATTCCGTAGAATACGGATGCATTTGATACTTTTGGAGGCTTCTTCCGAGTATACCCGGCAGTCCTTGGAGCTGAATGCCTCCATGATGGGGATGTTGCAGCGGACTTTCGACCTCCTGGCCCTCTACAACATTCCGGTATGTTCTTCTGATCACGGTCTCAAACCATACACATAAACTGTTTCACATAATCTAGTGCACAACACAACACTTGATAAGCTGCTCACGTCATTCATACACTGTACTCATACACTGCATTCTACACTGATAAACTGCTCCGATCGGGCGAACACCGTGCCCCTCTGTTTGTTGAGCGCACTGGTGGACGTCACACGGATTCTG